ATAATAATGATCTTATTTGTTACAAAATATGCTATCATTTTGGCCGAGACTAATTTTTTTCTGATGAGTAGTTGTATTTACTTATTTTTTATTGTAAGATTATTAAAATTTTTCACAAAATCAATATGCTATACATCTAAGTCTTATAAGAGAATTAATTATGTATATAAATGCATTAAATACATAAATTCCAAAGTGAAGCAAGCTCGCCAATGTTTAAATTGAACCAAATTTTTTTTAGTTTTATGAATTAAACACTATTTGAAAGCTCCCAAAGTAAAGCATATCCAGCAATTTCTATGGAACATATTTCTAAAAATTCTGAAAATCAGTTCTCAAGAAACTTAAATAATAACTTCTTTTAATCCGAAAGGGGCTAACAAATCGATTGGCCCTGCTGGCGACTATTCTTAACCGAATATAAGTATTGACCGTCATTCGTATAAAGCATCAACATCTGAAAGTGCAAAGCTTGTTTGGTAGCTCCATGTCTCAAACCATAAACCCTCGTATACTTAGGCCCATACACTAACGATTACCTATTAGGCCACTCTCAGGCCCGCAGATCTTTGTAATGAAGCTCTAAAATGTTATTGATTGAAATAATGGTTTCCTTCTTCTCTTAAAAATTAGAATAAACCAATGTTTTTGTGTCGATAACATGTTATTTATCTTGCTTCAAGTTGTAGAGACCTGGTATGACCTGAGACTGCAGAGACTACAAATGATCAAAGATATTTTCTGTGGGTGCTATTTCAAGAAGTTATCAATATACATTTCTGAAAGAAGAAGAAGAATTTCACTTAATATTTTATGTTTTGTTATTATATTTTGTCAATAAAAAAATTATTATCGTGTCTTGTTTCTAATACTCGAGTCCCCCAGTGGCAAGTCTGAGGGCTGCTTATAACGGTAAAAACCGATATACCCGGTGGTGGGTAGAGCACAAATAACTCATTGCGTATCTTTGCACTTATCATCAATAGAAAAAAAATAATGATTCAATATTCTGTCTCATGTGGCCTAGTAATTAGGGTGCTGGTCATATTGTAAATACAAGGGTTCACGGTTCGCGCCTCCTTGCCCCCAAAATAAAATCGCACCCATTACTTTGGGGCCGTTGGTGCATTATAAGAGTGACGGTCAAATCTCACTATTCGATGTAATAGAATAGCTCAAGAGTTGTCAATGGGTACTGTTGAATAGCTACAGTCCCTCTAGTCTATCAATTTAAAATTAGGGAGAATAGCCCTTGTGTAGCTTTGTGTGAATACTTGAAACAAACCAAACTATTTTCTTGGCAGTGTACAGCAACTTGTGGTGATGGCGGTTTTAGGAGTCGGATACTTCAATGTGTTTGGTTTGGTACTAAGGAAGTTGCAGGAAATGCCTGTCGGGATCAACCACGTCCTAGCGTGGTACAAAAATGTACTGGACCTCCGTGTACTTCAAGTAAGTCCTTAACAAATTTATGTTAATTTTCTAAAAGCAATGAATAAACTATTATTTCAATTTGGTGCTTGGTCGTTGTAAAAATAACATGTGTAACTAAATGTTGTACTAATAACAAAATATGGTTAATAAAAGTCGTAGTTAATCGATTAGTTTATATTTTAATAAAACCTTCCAATGTTTTTTAAACATAAACAACGAAGTTTATTCTCATTTCAGTTTGAATCTGGATCATTGGATGTATTTTAAAGCTTTAAGTGGCTGAATAGCAGTCAGTACGAAACTGATTTAAGCATGCGAGCTCAGCGAAAATTTGTTGTATTTTTGACTAGAATACCTTATTGATGTTCCTATGTAACTGAAACAAATAAAAAACAAGTTGTTAGTACATTTTTAATAGTGAATGTAGTTTTGTCACAATAGAACATTTACTGAATGTTCGGTCAAGCCTCTGGCTGTATTTAATACTAAACTGATGATAAAATATTTGATTGGCTTTAATACTAAATTGATGATCAGGCTTTTGACTGGCTTTAGTACTAAACTAATGATCAAGCTTTTGTTTGGCTTTAATACTAAACTGATGATCAAGCTTTTGACTGGCTTTAATACTACATACATAAACACATAGCTTATAAAAAATGACAAATTGTCTACCCATAAATCTTAACATGCTTTTTTTCATACTAAACTGTTTTCAGGTATCCAGTGTGTAGACTTGTCGCAATATTGTGGATTGGCAAAGACGCTGAACATGTGCAGGATGTCGCATTATCGTGAACAGTGCTGCAAAACCTGCTTAAGAAGATAAAATGTTAAAGTTGAGGGCATGGAGTGTCTAGACTAGACGTGAACTACGGGTGATGTAACGGGTTATGTATCGTCAGTCGTTTCTTAAGAAGAAAGTGCTCATTTAACGCTAATGTGTGCCCTCTTAAATAATAAGGTAGTGAAAAAAATATAGCAAATCTCAAAAATATTTCGTTTCTATCATGCTGATGAGGCTCTTCAGTATTTTCTCCTTATTTAAATTAAGCTGATGCATTGTGAGTGAAGCCGAGCGTCGATGTTAGGCCAATTCGTGTTCTGTGTATAATTTTTATTTTTCATTGTTGGTGAATTCTCTCCGTGTGCCATATATATCTATATATATATATAGGATGTTTAACTTATACCTAAACAGGAAAGGTGTTTCCAGTTTACTATTTTATTGTGTAAATGGTCGTTCCCAGGGATTTTGCTAGTCAGCTTTCTCCAGTATCTTGGGATTTTCAATGAAAAGTCCTTAAAAATAGCACCTCAAGCTGGAAACATTTTTACGTAAGAGATACAAGAATAACTATTTTGAGACACGAAATATTCAAACTATAAGAATAAATATGTTAATTATGAGACTGAAGCACGGAATAAGAGAATTTGTGGCACCTTTGGATTAACGACCGTGTGAAAATGTCTGTAGTTTTAAACTTTTAGCATTGTACTCTACCACTGTTGCATGAAATATTGAGCCCTAGAATGAAACGAATGAGTAAAGCTGAAACTGTCGTTTGTTTAGTCATTTTAGTGTGAAAAATGACTAATTATTACTACGTGATTTGAAGAGGAAGGTTAATAATTTATGGACATCAATGTGATTATGAGTTGGTGAAAAACTAAATGACCATCCTGCATCTCAGACTACTCAGCGATTACTTTCAACCAAATGCATTCCATCTTATGTGAGAACATCATACGAGAGCAACTAGACAAGACTGCCATAGAAGCGTTTAAACTCTACTAACAGAAAAATGATTTGAGGATAAAAGTATTGAAAGCTCAGATATCTCATAGTAATACAGAAAAGTTATGTGTAATCTTTGTTGTAAGTGTTAATGTTATTGACGTGTATACTATGTTGTCTTTGGCATTGGAGATCCTAAGAACAATGGTTTGTAAATGAATTGTTTTGTTAGCATATATATTATAATATTATATTTCAGTTTTGGGAAACGTATCATCAAATTATTACAGTTTTTTTTTCTCTTTAGCATTTTATAGCTTAATGTCGAATATCTAGTACGTAATGTCTGTCTGGCTATTTAATAACATTCTGACATTTACATGGGTCTTTACACGGCGCTACTTGCTAGTCTATAAACTAGTTTAATAAATCTTGCGGAATTTCTCAATTGATTGAAAAGTTCATAGATTATACTAAATTGTCCAATTTCGATTCGAAACGAAACTAAAATAATCAAAATAGGGCATGCTAGCATCAGATATCCGTTCCTATGACCCTAAATCTATACACCTTGTAAATATCATTTCACAATATTTGTAACAAAATTGCAACTCTTAAATGACAAAAATAGTTTTTACGTAAGGATTATTCTTTCTATCTCATTTAAAATTATCACTACGTTTGTTTAGAATTTAAAGTTGAAAGCTAACGTTTCAATCAGCAGTAGATTTTAGATGAGAAGTTATTCATGCTTTTTCTTGTTATGCTTGATAAATATTTATGAGAGAAAAAATATAGCTTTATCTAAAGTTTAACCTTTTCTTTGTAGTTAAATTAGTAATGAATAGTTATATTATAGTGTAAAAGTTTATCTGTGAGCTTTATCTAAAGCTTGAACTTTTCGTTTTTATTGTAGGTCAACTGATAAAGAGTGGTTATATTGTAAATAGTATGTAAACTATCAGAAGTTTTTTCTTTCTCTTTTTGTAAGTCATTCTTTTCTGACCAAAATTTACACATGATTGAGGTACACAACGAAATAATTAATCTGGAAGTTTTATCAATATTTTCTTCCCGTTCCTTGGATGGAGATACTAAAGCGAGTCATTGATAGATTGATTAGTGTGTTACAGTCTTTTGTTTTAACACAAGCTGAATTGCTTCTTTATGTGGGTCATGTGCATTAAACTTTATAGTTGTAAAAATTACCTTGTGAAACTTCAAATAAATCTTAGGTACCGGCTAATAATTTTATGTGTTTAAAATATACAGCTATATTTCTAAAGATAGACATAAACAACCCGTGACGCATGGAATTTTTATTTTAATTTGAAGCGTGTTTAGGCTTATGATTGGGCTTCAGCGAGCTTTTTCACTTTTGTCCAATAGTAATGGCTCACTATGCAGTTTCTTAAACCTTCAATTGTAACAACAGTTATAAAGCAGGAATGATTATTCAAAAATGCTGAAACTTCTTTTAGTATAAACTAACATGCAGCACACAAATAAGAAAATTATTCAAATAAGTAAACTCTATCTAGCTTACTATTGGTTCCAATCGTGAATTTTATATAATTTTGATCTAAGTGTCAGACTTCGATACATGTGACAATATGTAATAAAATATGGTTTGCTGCATCTGATTTAAATTATAATTTAGTCATTTAATAAAATTTCGTTTTGTTTGCTCATAAAGTTCTGAATTAAATCAGGATTTTAAAAAAATTCACCAAAATAATTATCGCTATTTATAGACTATAATGTTTTAAGGCTTAACAAATATGATAAAGCATAGAAGTATATTTTAATGGAAAATTCGACTAATATGTGACTCATTTTCATTCTTATAACTTTTATAAAAATTATTTTGAAATTTTTTCTATGTTTTCTTTTTAATGACTGGATATTTAGAACTATATATCTCACCCAAGTATCAAGAGCATAATGAAATATATTTAATATTTTCGAAGTCTTCTTTTATGCAGTTCTACAATAATTATTACTCAGGAGAAGCTGACAAAAAATTGTAAAAACAAAATCCCTAGAACTAACGCCCTTATAATTTATTTGTGAGAATCGTAATTTATAATTTTTCTCCAAAATCTTTACGTGAACTACTTCAGTATTCATATATTAGGTACTCTTTTCCTATAAGGATTAATTAGAAGAGGTAATGTTTCGAAGGTCTATAAACTTAAAGAATTTTCTATTAGGTAATGAAATATTCAACTAAAGGTTAAGACTTTATTCATAAATTGAATTTTAGGTTTCTTTTAATCATTTTTAGGAGTTCATAACTTGCACCAGATTATTGCTATTTCAGTACATTTTCCTATCACTTTCAGCCTAATAATATTATATCAATTAAGATTATACAATAACGCCGTTCCTTTCTGAAACCTGGTGTTGCATCTGTATAGTAAAGTGCACTTTTATTAACAACTAGAATAGTTCACGTATTTCGAATCGGAATCATATTTTGTGCACAAAAATTCGGCATTATTACAATTTAAAAACAGCAATAATTAAAAGGGGATTTATTATAGTGTTAGATATGCGTTGAAACAAGTATGTTAAGCCGTAAAACATACTAGAAAATAGAAGAAGAAACCATCTTAATAGGAACGTTTAATTGGTCAAACACTGGTTCTAGTCCTGTACTGTTTTTGTGTACGCCTATGCGTAGCTCTCTCCTCTGTTTTCCTGTTGTATTCTGTAAATAGAATTGAAATGTTGAAATACATTTATGATTGCAATACGAGCTTTAATATCTCTGAAAATGTTATTGATAAGACATGTGAAGTTCGCTTGCAATCTAACGTTTGTGTAAATGAAGCAATAACAAAGTAGTTATAGTATCACGTGTTTGTCAGTTTACTGTCAAGTTTAGGTTAAATTTTCAATCTGAAAATAACTTATTAAACATGTTATAATATTCAGTTTTCAGTGATTATGAAATGGTTCAGAAACCAAAGAGAATATGTTAGGACCAATTATAGAGTTGAAGAAAAGTTTGTCTCAGGGTATGGTTATCAATAATTTATATCAAAAATATTTCCTATGCGTCATAACGTGTATATAAACGTGAATAATCAAAGACGCTGGAATCATTGTTAGGCCTAAGTAGATTAGTGAAAGGCAATATAGGTTTATGAAAATAAACATGCATAGAATATCAGCAAAAATCTACTGTTGATGGAATGAAGAAACTGTTTTATACTGCAAATGGGGTTTGTATAATTGACGATGTATATACACAAGTCAGGTATGCAGGAAGTCACTTATCGTAGTAAATTTCGCTTTATTCCATTAAATGGAGTTAAAAGATATTTCAAAGAATTTTAATTGATTAACTATTATGTTTCATGTGACTTTTACAGCACTGTTTTTATATATACATACATATGTTTGTGTGTTATGTAAAAACATAATTTAAATGAGTTAGATTTATTAGAATAAAATATTTTACACTTATTTTATTCTTTTTTCTAAGTAACGAAACTTTTGATCAAAGTTTTTTGTGGTTTAGTACTGATATTAATTATTGTGTGTTCTTAAAAAGTTCATGAGGAATGTGTATACGTTGTTTTGCATATTGTGCCCCCTCCCAAGTCCTATCGTAAAGAAGAGTTTTTATATTTGAATATTTCACTTTTAATTACAAGTATATTTTTTCTTTAATCTTTCAAACGTAATATTTTATGAGCATTAAGGTTGATTATATTGAAACTTTGTTGCGGTTTGATCACTGCCGTAGTGTTAATGAGCCTTTTCTGTGAATAACATAATGGCATTATTAATACTGACAAATTCAAAATTAGAGAAGATCGGCGTAGGCCTGGTTAGCACGCTATGGAAAAGTACAATAATACTATAAGTGGTTTGCCAGCAATAAACTGGCTAACTTGTAGTAACATATACGTGTATTAAATTTTAAGAATGTAGTTAATGAGAAATCCAGGGATATGTATCGTATCTCTGAAAATATTTCGTTATTCAATTTTCTTTAAACGTTAGATTTAAATGTCGTCACAAGATGCTCCTTTGTGTTTTCCTGTGGTTATTGGATTAATGCAGATTCTCTATTGCAAGTTTTCTTCTTGCATTTTGTGTTTTGCTTCATTTGATGTAAGCAAATATGTGAATATTTAAAGAAGGAATATAGAATTCAGAACTCTCAGCACTAGTTTCCTGGTTGGTTAGCCTGAATGTCGTAGAGAATTGAAGTCACATAGGTAATAATGAATTTTGATACTGTTACTTGCCCTTGAAAGCATACGTCCTTCCTGTGTGAGTCTAGTTTTGCCTCTAAATTGCGTGTAGTGACAGGAACAAGAGGTAGGTTACAGGTGAAAATTTTAGAGCTGTGTAGAAAATACTGAATTGGCAAAAAGTGTGCTATTTTTAAGACTATTCTTACGCCATCTTATTCAGTATATTGAACAATTGATGCTTGCACATGTGCTTATTATGATACGAATCACAACATTCCAATGTTATTTAGGCGTAGTGCTATACATGTACACAATATTTATGTTCTAGTTTCTGGCATATGTGTGTGTGTGTGTGCGTGCATGAAAATGTTCCCCAAGAAAAATAAAGTTAAGTAATGTAGTTAAACTTGAGTTGTTTGCATTTTTTGTTTTACAATATTAATATAAACAAATAAGACACAGTATAAAATCTTTAGAGATTTTTTTTTTTCATATTATTGTAGAAACTATAGAAGCTACACAGTGACATAAAAATAAAATAAAAGTTAAACAGAAGTGAAATATACACCTAACTTGTTATACAAATATATTACTTGCATAAAATATATATACTTGTTACTCCCTGTTTAAACAAGATGTCTAGAAATGATTACTTCAGTATGAAAGTGTCACTCTACGACGAAGGTAGTGCTCAAGGGCCATCAACTTTAGCCATTTAGTGAAAATATATCAAAACATTACAAAAACTCCATTTGTTCCATCTCGACACCTAGCAGCAATAAATCATATTTTACTGTATGTTGCACTAAGTTTCTTGGAGGCTATAACGAAGCTTGAGTTTATCAAATAAACCTAATCCACCTTTTGAGAGAACAGAAATTAATAAAATTCCACAAAAACAAGTTCAAAGGATTAAGTTTGGAGAATTTCGGAGGTATGAATAGTCGATATATTATGTGCAATAAAGTGCTTCTCTCAGGCAGTAGCGACACGGGATAATCCAATACGGATGCCATGTTAAAGCAGAAGAGGTGTGTATATTACGGTTCACAGATTTCCCGTAGAGCAAAAATAAGGTCCAATAAATAGGGGTTCCAAAAAATATGATATCACGCAATATGGGTCCGTTTACTTTTTGGACTGCGACTGAGTCCATCAACAAAGAAAGAGTCCGTATAAAAAATGCACAACAACAATCTTTATTCATGAAATACATTCAGAGTAAACACCAGACAAAGCAATATAACACAAGGGTAAGTGTCTTTGTAGATACTTTACAAGCTCTCACAAATAGCAAACGTTTCTATATCTAAATATTGACTAAAAATCTTAGCAAAATCTCTCAACACAAAATCCAAATTTTAATAAAAAATCTGTCAAACAGGGTAGAACCTGCTTTTAAATGCTAAGATATAACAACTGTAATAAAGCCAGATTAATCACGCTACGCTTCTCGTACATGTGACCTAGAGATATTTGTATTCCTTCATAGGGACGTGAAAGCGCCAGCCTATTACCCGATTCGCCAACAGAAAAAACAGTCATATATTTCAAGATGTCACAGTGAAATAACAGTACCTTTCCTGTAAAAGAACACACAACTTCCACGTGTCCGGTTAACACTTCCCTGACTATGTTTCATCCACGTGTTACTACAATTTGAAACTAAGGGATAAACTCGTGCTTCCAGTACAATGTATGTACTAGTATTATTCGAAAACTGAAACAGTATTTAATAAAAAGAAAAAAACAGGGTTGAATCCTCGACCTCCCGCGCATACAAATCATGTGCTATGTCATATGAGTCAAGGACAAAAAAAAATTTTCACATGTGCAGAATTATTAAGTGGAATACCATATATGTGAAATGGGTGTGTTTTAAGTACATAAATCATTTAAATAATACTGTTGTATTATTTAGTTGGACATGAATGAAACAAAGACCTACAAAGAAGAATATGGAATTGTTATATTTAAAGTAAGTATGAAAGCACTGAATGACTATAAACAAAATATATTTATGTACAGTACATTTTTTGTATAAACACTTTGTCTTCCTGGATAATCGCCATCTTTAACTTAGATCATGAGATTTTTGGCCGCAGCATAACGGCTCTGAGTTTTTTGTTTTGTTTTTCAAGTACAAACTTTTAGCTCATAGTTTCGTCATCTCTTAATCGATTTAAGATCTAATTACAGTTTTGAACTCAGGTGGTCAAACCCTTTCGATTGATTTATTAGATCACGCCCAAGGTCTCATATCGATTTACTATAATCCTGCTTAAAAGAATTTCAATTTGAGGGTAAGACTAGCAGAGATCCTGGTGAGAAATAAAATTGAATTAGGTATACGCGCACCCCACGCTTGGTATTGCTGGCGCCCAAAAAAATAACTAATAACAAGGAAAAAAATGTCTCTTAGATTAATTTGCTCTAATCCTCCCTAAACGAATTTCAAGTGCCGCGGCTATTGGGGATTTCCTCTTGTTTTTTTAATCGAGCTCTTGATAAAATGACGTTATAAAATAGTGTTTTTTTTTATTATTGTATCAACAAGGGTAGAAATAAACTATCTTCGTTTTTCACTGTTTCACTTAATTTTCTTTTTCCTTCCACAATAGTATCAATTCGTTTTTAGAAAAGCGTTTTTCCCTACCACCAATAACTTTAAGTTTATTTGTCGATTTTTAGGTCCCTATATTGAGATAGCTAAAATAGTGATTTTTAAAATTATAAGATCTAGAAGTGTAAAGATCAACTGTCGTCATTTGCTTTTTTTGTAAACTTCTTGTGTGTTTATGTATTAAATTACATTTGTATACTATCTAAAGCCTGTAATTATTTTCTTTGGTGCAATGTTTTAGCTGTAGTGCATCGAAAATGAATCATGTTGTTGCAGTGTTTTCATGTAGCTAAATGCTATAGAATATAGATTATATAGCAGTTAACTCGTGATTCGCGTACGAAGCGTATTTAAACTTTAGGTGTAACTGTCGATTTTAGGCGCCTGTTGGAATTTTATTGAGATTTAATGGTATTGCCTAAAGCAGGGGTTCCCAAACTTTTTAGAATCGCGACCCACTATTCATGACCACAGCTTATGGCGACCCACTCAAATTTACTGGGCAAAAACATATGAAAGAATATAAAAAATATTATTTATTCATATTCGCGTATTTCAATTACATTTAAAAATACTCACGTATTTTCAATAACATTTCCAGAACTTATAAATGCTATCTAATTGATTAATAATGAGGCGTGTGTGAAGGACGTGCTTGTTTCTTGT